GGGCCGGGGCAAGGGTGCCGGTGCCGGCGGTCGGTGCCGCGGAGGGGGCGTGGGTTAGGGCCGGCGCAGGGGTGACGGTCGGTGCGGCGGTGGGGGCGGGGGTCGGGGATGGTGTCGGCGGCGGCGGGACGTCGGGGAGGAAGGAGCCGATGTAGTCGCTGCCGTAGAGCTCGACGACGTGCCTGGTCTCGCTCTCCTCCACGAGGAACCCGAGGGCCGCGTGCGTTAGGGCTGCCGGAGAAACAAAACAGCAAAAAAAACAAACGAGGATCAGGAGAATGATGAACCGCAGTGTGGTCTGTGCTGCGCTTCTCCTCAGTCGCAACTTGTACAATACAGCGGTGAAAATTGTCTCTGTGACGGTTTGGGTGTACTTCCAGCCATCAGGCGTACCAATCGTCCCATGGCTGGAGTTGTGTGGACGCGCTTGGTGCGGGAAGTGAACTGCGGTGCCGAATATGGTGTGTTTAACACGGATCTGCCGCTGGAACAACTGCTGTACATTGTGAGGTCCGCGCGTTAGCGGGCGGTGCAAAATAGGCACCCTAGAGCGAGAACCTACGGGCAAATGTGTCTTGAAAACAGACTGGGAATCAGCCTGAACCTCCCACAGCGACTTTTGGGAATCTGGCAGCCCCAATTGCAGGAAGCCTATAAGCCTACACACCCCCTTCGACTGTGGCATTAGCCCTAAAGGGTAGTATTTCTTTGTATTGTACGCAATTTTTCAATTTTGCTGAAAGCATAACTTCTACCTCAGACAGCACAAGTAGCAAGGTGCTTCAGCAAGGATGTCCCGCACCGCTCAGGCAATCGCCCTCTACATGTTCTTTAATGTGTACTTTTAGAAAAACGCAACGGACTCGTCTCTATCCATAAGCTAATGTGGAATCCTCAGCGTCCAGTTTTATCTGAGCCTACTTCATGCGAGCAATGACTTGGTGGGTGCTTGCCTGACGGTCGTGCAGGCTGTTGGCCGCAGAGCCCAGACACGTGTCTTTTTCGCCAGACTTTTTCTTGCAGTACGAGAACACAACACATCCATCTCTATCCGCAGAAAAAACTAGGACATGAATCATACATAGTGCTGCATGGCCAACTTGTGTTGCTCGAAACCGTCGAGCAGCATGCAGCGATATCCCCCCTGTGGGTAACATCCCCAACAAGACTGAGGTGGGGATGCAAATCAGCATGTTCCGTTGAAGTCTGTAATCGATTACGGGTTCAGCAGCAGGGAAAGAGCTGTTACTTTTGAGGAGGTACACATGTAGACCAAAACGAGCCAAGCTAAACAAAAACAATCTATTTAAGGCTGCGAAATGCACGTTGGCAGCACGCTTTGCAAGCGCTCTCTCCTGGGGCGGCGCGTACCGTTCCAGGAGGGGAGTTGCCGCTACATATTCCGGTACGTACATGGCAGCCAAATAGCGCAAGGCAGTTGTAGACTTCTCGAGACGAAACTCTCCGCAAAACAACGCAACTCCTCCGCACTCTGTAACATAAACCATTCCTACTCCATGAAAATGACGAAGTTGCAGTTGGAACACACCAGGCGGAAGGCGCTGTCGACGCTTAGCAGAAACACAACGATTCCCGGGAAACCCAAACGACAGGAAAGGCGCGCAACAGAGGACGAAATTATGTCAAAAGAAGACGACAACTCACCAAAGCTCTCCCAAAAATTTCCAGCACCATCGAGAATCGCCGTGGGGGTGTTCCATGGAAACGGCCCTTCGAGCAGGAACACCTTGACGATGGCCCCGTTCTCCACCACATCAATCTGATTCGAGTCCATCCCTATCTCTCTGCCAGAGGCTGCAGCGCCTCGCTCGTGTGCCCTTTTGTGCACTGGCAATAGGCATCATCTTGTATAAAGCAGGGGATGGTTAAGAGGCAGCCCCTGCCTGAAACATGCCTCCATCGATTTTCATGTTTTTTTTTGCCGAGCGTCCAGCAAGTTGTTGCGTTTCCTCGGCCCACCTGCCTCAGCTCCTTTTGCTTTTGGCCAGCGCGCCTGGCGTCAACATCCGGACCTCGTCAGTGCACAGAGGAAGCGTTTTCCTCTCAAGAAATCGTTGTGCAGCATTCACGCCAAGAGAACTGCAGCTCGGCGGATGTGGGGCTTGTGTATCAGGATATCTACCTGCGTTTGATTTGAGTGTTGGTCACTCACTCACTCTCGCTCCCTGCCTCGCCAAAGACCAGCCGCAAAAGTGCGAGTTGTGAGAGCTAGGGAGGAGACAGGAAGAGACGTTGACAGGCACCATGTCCGCCACTAGCGCCGACACCAGCAACTCCCTGGCGGATCAACTGGCTTCCTACGAATCCATCGTGCTCAGCGTGAAAAATGAGGTGAGGAAAGAGTCCCTACGAGATACCGGCACGCCCACACAACACAGCGGCACCTTCCTGAGAAAAGAAAAGAATCCGCCGCTTCAAAATTTTGTTCCCGTTCTGCCGTTCTTTACGAACATCATCCGGAACACATGTCCGTGGATTGCACACGCCCCAGGGACGCAACTTCTCTGAGCTCATCAACATATCAACACGTCGCAGCCGCTGGGGGTGAACATGTGTATAAATCTATCGCGCCACGTGGTCGACGGCGACGGTCCGAGTCCTTTGATTTGTTTTATTCGATCTACCGATAGATAAGACCGGTGGTTCCGGCACTACATCCCCCCGCAGCGTATCTAGCAACGCATCAGCGCATCCCTTCCGTGCTGGGACGCTTCCTGTGGCCCAGTAATCACAACGGTCCCCAGCTTCGGAAGTGTTCTACAACTATCGTACACTGCTGAAGTTTGTTGAACCAACAAGGTACTGCAGTACAATGCTCCTTGGCTGCTGCTGTATATATGCATACGTATCTGCCCAGCTACATGGGACCTTCGCTCTTCTCTATATTGTACTGCCGTACCTCTTTTCGGTCTTTGGAATTGCATGTACGAGCTCACGCTCTTCTGCATATTATATGTCGTGCTTGATCGTGTCTTATTTTTTGAAAGAATAGAAGGAAAGCATACCACGTGCTACATATGAATACGTTGGTTTAAATGCCCCTCTCCTGAACGTAGTCGTGGGGCGATCACTGCCGTCATCTACTGCTTGCTGTCGTTACCCGTTAATCCCGCTTTTTTGGGTACAACCAAGGGTCTGTGCGAAAAATAATTCCGCCCCCCCTGGAGGGGGGAGAAACTCGAAAAATTACCACACGAATCGTCGAAAAGTTACCGTGAGGTTTAGATGGATTGCAAACATGCCTCGCTCTCGTTATACTCCTTCTGCATCTGCTCGTCAGAAGCCGGCCCACGCTCAGCCGTGCTATAGGAACACACGTACGGTAGCGCCCCATTCCTACAAAAGTACAGTACATTCGGCCAAAGCTCGAAATGAGCGAAGCAGCTCAGCTAACCATCCAACACAACCACCTGCCTTGCAAACTTGCGTTTCCCGCTTCTTAGCACTGCAC